AAGCAGTCCAGCACTATAACAATAACAAGAAATCAGAAGGCAAGGACAAGAATTATGTCTTGACAGGACGAAAAGGAAAGATAATAATCGTAACCGTTCAATTCCATCGTCAGTTCTAGATTAATCCCCCAACTCATCCCTTACCCTTCCCACTTATCTGAAGCAAAAATAAAAGCAAACGTATAAAACCTGAGTTGAAAATGAATATAGATAAATTAGAGCAACATTTATTTGTACCTCTTATGAATTCAGATAGCACATTGCCTGTGCTTGAAGATAACATGAATCCTTGTACTTTCTCCCACTGCCAATGTGAATTCCATTTTTAATCCAGTCCTCACGATGAATCCAGGCCTCCCTACTAATATCAAGAATTCCGAGGATCTGCAGTGCATAGAAGTGATACTAACTCTATAGAGTCTCATACAAACTTAAAAGTGAAGCATGGTACAAGATTTGGTTGAACAGGTATCACCTTATGCATCATTAAAAGAAAATCGTCTCAACAAGATAAGTACATTTTTAGCATCCTGGATATAGCAATCTCAAATTGAGCTGGTGGTTATTCGAAAAGAAGAATTCTACCAACTGTAATAGTGTACAATTAGTATTCTTCAGGAACTAAGATTAGTAAACAAAAAGCACAACACAATACAATGATTGTCCCTCTTAAGATCTTGAATTGAGATGTTATTCATAAATTATGCACCAAAATAGGTTCAACGCAACAATAATCTGTAGCATCAACTGTTCTTTAAGCACTGTTCAGACTCATTACACTGTTCAGACTCTTACAGGTCAGTTGATGCGATTAGCAGCCCCATTACGCTGTTCAGACTCTTCAGTGCCATTTATTTCATTAGTGACAAAAACACACTTCAGGTAATGCTATAATAAATAGTTATTATTTATCAACTCCTTTTATTCCTTTTATAATTGTGGTGTGAGAGCTACCTTGCCTGCTTATTTTTTACCACCTCCTTATAATAACTTATAACACAAAGCCCTAAATTGTATCAAAGCCATATTACCAGAATGTAGGATTTAGCCGTTAAAAAATAGTGTGATGGAAACAAAGCAGAACCTCTAATAAAAGTAGTGTCTACTTACTGCTCCGCCTTTCCACGACACAAATGCTGGATTTGTTCTCGATTGCAAGACCTAATATATGTACATACAAACATAAATGTAAATTCTTGACAGCAACTTACTATATAAAAAGAGAATAAAAGATGAGAAGAAAACAAAATGATGTAAGTCTGCAAGGACAGTAAGGTCCCCAAAAGAGGATGGGTACCCAAACACAATAGTTTCTATTGCACCTATTTGAGCCAAAAATTCCTCAAAGTTCCATTCCAATTATTTACCCACACATGGTCCATTTTACATATGTATTTCAACTAGTTGGATTAGTTGGCGAAGGAATCTACATACAGGGAAAAAATGGCAACAACGACAATCACTACGCTTCATATCCGTGCAAGTTGGTGTCGACTATATGAATCCGAAACAGAACAAAAGAACACTTAAGAATTTGTCTTTTATCCATTCATTCCATATATAAATATAAATCTTAAATAGATTGCCCTATCATGACAACTATTTAATCCCTAATACTTTTTAAACCTCAAAATACCCTTTTCATAGAAAACGCCTAACTCCCTCTTCATTCCATTTTCACCATTTGTTCTTCTCTCTTTTGTGCTTAGGTCTATTGCATTTAATTTACATTTATTAAAAATAATCCTATCAAATCAATTTAGAGTAAATTGATACATAAGTTAATTTGTAGTTGAATCAATTAGAATTAAGAATCTTGCAATAATCAGCTCCTTTTTTTCAAGGTGCCAAAATAATGAAACTCCTTTTTAGTGCAAACTACTTCAAAAGCATTTAAGTCATTTTAGATGATATAAGTCATTATCAACACTTTTTCATCAAACATATTTTTTTATTTTTTTTTATAACCGAAAAATCCGTTTGTGACCCGCCCTTTGGACCAATCACAGCCTTCTAAACTCGGTGGATAATGGGCCCGCCCCTCTACCCTTCTCCACTTAAATACCAGGCTTCGCTTTGCATGGTGTGGAGCTTGAACCTGCGACCTAAGCCACAAATCCTCCACCTTTTGCCACTTGAGCTAGGCCTTGGGGGCCTTTTTCATCAAACATATCAACTGCCTGCTTATTATCTGTTTCGGTACTTGATATCATCATCTACATCCAGAAAGCCGTATGCTTTGGAAGAAGCTTGTACAGTTTGGGAAGGGGTTTTGATTGATCAAAAGAAGAATCTACTTCAACCGATATGTCCCCCTCCAACACATAATTACTTATTTATAAAATAAATTTTTATACTTAAAAGGCATTATTAGTATGTGGTGCTTATCAACTAATTTGTACTCATCAACAAGTGAGAGCAAAAGACGTGTATGTTTCCTAAGGAAATACCAAGGAACTCTCATATATTTATTTTTGGATTCTCTTTTCCCTTTTCAATTTGTTTTCCCCATTTCTGTTCTTCAGCATGCTGAAAACAATCTAAGCATCTGAAGGAACTATTTGAGAAGGCCAAACACATGATGAAACCTTAGGATGATAATGGGGCAGGACTGATATAATTTTATTTGATTAAATCAAGAAGCCGGATTATGCATCTGGCAAAGAGAAGATATAAGGTTCATGAGATTGTCTGCAAATGCATATTGAAGAACGGCATAACAACTAGAATAGAAAGAAATCAAAAGCTCAAAACTTACCTCCACAGTGTCAATTGCTTCATGTGAAGGGATTGCATGTAAAACTCTGGATACGAAAGTAAGCAGTTAGCATAAAAGCATACTATTTTGTTAGAAACAAAAAACATCAAAGCATACTAGACTACTAGTGATCTCCTAAACCATTTCTATAGCTTGGAAAATTTTGAACTACTTATTAGCACTTACCTGATAACATGCCAAAATGCAGTCGCCTAGTTATGCTTTAAAAATCTTCTAAACAGAGGGTGGAATATTCATTGATGATATGTATATATAATTATGTCCAACTTCTAGCAACAGGGGCATTGTTTTCTTTTTCTGTTTAAATTCAGGCAAAACTAGACTCGAAACAAACCTTTCCTCCACAGCAGGAATGAGACCATAAATCGATGCAGCTCCACCAATCTGAAGAGTTGAAAAATATCACGCTTCAAACCACAGGACAATAACTATAGGTTTAATGCCTTAAACAACTAACCAGTTGCATGCTGCAAAACAACTTTCTCTGTAACTCAATACGCCCTGTCAATTGTATGAAACAAGGCTCAGAAAGAGTATATCCAAATTCTACTACATTATAGAATAGATCACTATTATCACCTGTCAAAAGAATGCTCTTTGTAATAGCTTCAGCAAGGCCAATAATATCTTCTTTCTTTGGCTTTGTTTGGAAAACTGGGTAGCTCTCCCACATCGGATATGCACCACCACCAGGGAAGTCCATGTGCCATGTGTCCTCAAGCATATCATCATAATCGTTAAACCTATTTAGATGCAATAACTGAGCACAGAAGGAGGGAGAAAGGATTTAGTGACATCATATATACTTAACTTACCAAGAGCGGGGTGGCGGAGGATAGACATCTGGAACCAAAAGCATTGGGTAAAATAAACCCATCGGGGGAACCTGTATTAGCAAACTATCAGGCACTAACATCAACCCTTGTCAATTCAAGGTTTCATCTTTATCAGCAAGTACCAAATCTGCCTCTTTCTTTTGAAATACAGATGGAACTTGATACTGTAAAAAAATTAGCTAATTGTTAACATGGGATCTCTCATGTTCAACAGCAAAATCATGTCACAATTGCTCATATGATATCTCAGCTTCAATTGCAAAAGCATGTCATGATTTAATTTTGGATTTTCATTGAATTATGATTAAAGAATAACTTTTCTGGATTAGACAATTCAAGTTATCAAACCATGACAAAAAACACTAGCTGCACTCCCTTGTAAAGCAGTAACCTTGTGATATATTGCATTGAAAATGTTGCCCCTTATGAGGCATAAGCAGAATATATCTTCGAAGAGTTAGAATGTGAAAGTTAAACAAATGGCATTAATCACACATCCTCTTCAACAAAAGCAAAATAAATACAAGAAGATTTTGAGGTTAAGAGGTATACATTAAGAGCAGTCAGCCTAGTCTTATGAGATCCAGGTTGCATTCCATCTTCATATGAATGTACCATAGCAACAGCTTCTACTTCCCCCTCCTGGACAGTGGAATAAATTAAACATGCATTTAGGTGTTCATGTAAGGATGCATCCTATTCATAACTAGAGTTATTACAAACAGTGCGGTAGATTACAATAGAAGGTGATAAATTGAACAATTAGACTGAACATCATCCACTAGTCTCTATTCATCCCAAGGACACTTTGGATATACATTCCCAGCTTCATATATTGATTACCAAACTGAAGAATATCCAGTAATGGGCTATACGTGTTTCTAGCATATAAATGTTAAAAACCTTAAATTTGTATTTTCTTAAATATTAGGAAACTCACTTTGATCTGACAGTAGGACTCCTTAAGTCTGTTAAGCATCAGCAAATCTACAGGCTTTGACAGGGCATCAGTCCGAATAGGTGGCCATGTTTGATGATGCCTCTGAGTCCAGAGAAGGCATCTTGATACATCCTGTTTATTTTTTTTTAAAAAAAACAGATCGGTTGGCTAAGAAAGACGAAAGACAATTAAAAAATCATTGAGGAAAAACTAAAGGAGAAACCGAGAACTTAATAAACTGCTTCAAGCTTGACGCTGAAATGTGTAATCATCTCATCTAAAAGCTTAAGCCATTAGTGAGAGCACATTTTTAATTATTTAATTATATTATGTATCAACACTTGAAGACAAAGAAACCCCGGTTTTTCCAAAAAATTCCTAGAGCTTTGCATCATTTATAAATTATAAAGACAAGGAGAAGAAAAGTTTGTTCCGGTATTATAAGAACAAGGGATAGTTAAGTTTGTGCTAATTAACATAATATTGAACTTTGCACCATATGATAGATCTTTGGAATAAAGTTATCGAATATAGACTTGGGGATATTACAAAGGTGAAACCAGTTTGGATTCACGAGCAATAGATCTAAGATAGAAGTAACTTTAGAGGGAGAGGAAAATGATCCCTACACTTGATATATAATTGACCTAGAAAAGGGTATGATAGAGTGTCAGGAAAAGTCCTTTTGGTGGGTGTATGAGAAGAAAAAAACACATAAAATATTAATATCTCACAAAGGACATATATATAAGGGCAATGGCAAATGTTAGAACTGCGAAAGGAGAAACAAAGGAGTCATGACTGTGAGTTTACACTAGAGATCTGCCTTGAGAGTTGAGCCCGTACTTAATTACCCTAATTATGGATGAATTAACAATAACACATATAATAAGGTTTTGGTACATGCTATTTGCAGATGATATTGTATTAATAGATGAAACTAGCAAAGCAGCCAACCAAAATTTGCAACTATCAACCATGGAGAAGCAATTTGGAGACTAAAGATGTAGGATATGTAGAAATAGACAAAATACAATGTGTTGCATTTTTAAACCTTATAATAACATTGAAGGTGAAGTGAGATCAGACGAGACTGTGATACTCAAATGCAAATAATATGGATATCCAGACTCAATATTCTATGAGAATGGCATGATAAATAACTATGTAACACAGAATACAATGAGATGGTTGAAAAGGAAGATTAGTAGAGGTGCAATTATGCGATAGAAAAATACCTAACAAAGTGAAATTTAGAGAAAAATCAGAGGAGATTCTTTTGTTATTGTTGCTACATTTATATCAAACAGTAAGTGTGAGATTTAGAGAATTTCTAGGTTTGAGAACCCTTATATTTGCCTTACAAGAAAAGTAATTTAGTTTGGAATAGGAAGGTCTAAAGAGAGAGAGGAATGAATATAAGGGATTCATACAGTCGGAACTAACCAGCTGGCATTAAGGCATAAGTGATTGACTAATTGAACAAGGATAAGACATGTATATATTGAAGTCAGTAACATTGAGGTACAAGATTCTTGATCTTTGAGCTCATTTCAACTTCTCTATGCAAATCCCTCTTGAGTTGTCAAGCATAAGCAGCCTATTGACAGCAAAACTATTCAATAGAAACATCCGATTAAACAAGTTCCCAGTTTATTATGTCTCACCCTACTTAAAAAAGAAACTCAGATGGCATCTCCAAGAAATAAAAATGAAAATAGCCTCTAGTATAAGCAAAGCATAAAAAAGATTAAAAAAAATAAAAATTGAGCTTCTCGACTTTTTCACTCGGCAAAGTAAAATCCATACTTTTTACTGAATGCTCACCTCTCCACCAAACCGTAAAGATATCTGTGTTGTGGGTAGAACCACTCCATCCTGTCCAATAGCATCAACCATTAGCATATGAACACATGGAGGATCAGCATAAAGGTCAAATAGCAATTTTCAGATGTTCTTGTTAAAAAGCATAAGAATATCACAGAATTCTTTCTGCTTCCAGATTTAAGTAACAGCAAATGTATAGACTGTTGGTCATCTACATAGATAACAAGGCATTGACAGAGCAATTGGGGAGACCAAGGTGAAGCAGTAATCACAGTGAAGTAATGACAATGAAAGATATCATGACAATGATAGAATAGCACTCTCAGAATCCCAATTTTCTTGTATAATTTTAACCTAGTATTGAGACTATGAATAATGAGAAATTTTCTTATACTTGGGTGTGCATCAATAGCACTGATGGTACTGGATGTACTAATCATGATTCATGGCCTGTCATAATAGGTGGCAAGAGCCGTTCGGAAAATCTATTTAAGAAATAAAGAGGAAAGAAACCATTACTGTGAGTGTGAAAATTGATGCCTTAGTAACATGAATTACTTTCGGAACGTTATCATGATTCATGTCCAGTTATAACCACCACCCACTTCCGCAACACACAAGGAAAAACCCTTGCAGTATGCCAGTATCAAAGTTACTTAGAATCCTTATCCCGGGTCCCATTTCTAATGCTGGAGTGCTATAAATAAAGCTGTAACAGAAAAGGGGCTTAATTGTAACTTTCCAACCATATAGAAGGTAGAAATAAAGCCACCATACCTCAACACAGATAACAGATGTCACTTGAGCTCCCATGTTGACAATGCATGCTGTTGATAAACCATTTCCAAAAACTGCAGCAAGACCTTCCTGGTTTAACCAATTCAAACAGAACATGAGTAACAAAGATGATTTCATACATCTTCATCCCTACTGTTTGATTACAAGGTACAGTTAGCACTTCCAGTTAGTTGTTTTCAGTCATCTGCATTTCCAAGAACAGGCAATTGCATATTCAAGAGTAAAGTTTTCCTATTTCAGCAAACTTCTTAACATCCTGAATGTTTCTTCCTTAGCCCTCCTAAGGTAACTAATGGCACAAAGATCAAGAAAGGAAGGGAGACTTTTAAAGCTTGTAACATTAAACATGCCATAACATTCGTGTCACTATAAAAGTTTGTCATTAAGGATAAAATAGAAGGTTTGTGTTAATATTTCCAAACTTAGAAAACTGCCGGGTTTTTTTTAAACGAACTAAAAAATTGTCACAGGAACTGGAACCGAGGGGAGTAAATAATTTAGATCTTGGATTATCATAAGAGCCAACTAGGAAGGAGAAAACAAAACATTGATGAGACACCCTAAACATAGGATTTTGGGGAGCAGAATTATTAATTTAAAAAATACAGAGATTTACTCACCGTCCCACACCTCCTCCCACTATGCCCAACTTCAAATAAATAAGTGTTTTTAATAGATTCTGACCCTTCTTTTTTCATTTCATCAAGAAGTAGGTGCTCCATAAGAAAGAAAGTGGGCCCATCGTTGGGCAAGTTATTGCTAAACGAAATGGTGTACAAGATAAATCTTCCTATTCTCCTTAATTAAATGAAAATGAAATGTATTAACTTTGATCTACATCAAATAGCCTAAAACCAACTTTCAAGAAGTAAGCTTAAAATTCCTAGAAAACTAAATGTGATCCCCTTTTAGAAAGTGCAGCAAGTCTATCAAGAAACTTGCAATGGGGGTAGTAATATGTAAGGTCTTCTATGATTATAGCTCCAAATGGCACTGCTTAACAAATACATACCATACACACAAGTTTTATTGGTATTATTGTTGATTAGAAAGCATGGGACAAGCAATTATCAGATCTTCATAAAAATAGAATGAAGCAATCTATATATTTCAAAGTTCATGCTGTCATGTATGTCGGTAGTTGGAAAATTTTATGAACAGGTTAATAAGAATGAAGGTTTCGGTCCAACTTGTGTGCATACAATCACTTAATAATGCCTAAAAAGTTCAGCAACATAATATCACCTGGTGGACTACTGCTGAACCAAAGCGTAAGTCACACAACACGATAGATAGCATTTCCTTGATTTCTGCTTTGCATAAACAACAAGAAGTGTTACATTTTCTATAAGGAACAAAAAGTGCTATATCAACGACAGAAAGGGGTGATCATATGGTAAAGTCACAATCACATACAATCACATCGACAACAACTATGTGTAAATCCCAAACAAGTTGGATTCGGCTATATGAATCCTCACTGACCACTTCTACAGTCTTAGAAAACTCTTGTACCTTGTTTGTGCATGGACTATGAAGCCTCCTGTGAGCTTTTATGAAAGAAAAAGCACTCTCAGGAAATGGACACAAAACAAGAGAATAAAACATAAAAGATCCAATGACCAATTGGCCACTAGATTCCTTGTGATGAAGTACTATGAGGATAATGGATGGTTTGATTGACGAGTCAATGAAGGTGAAATTTGAAAGAATTTCCAGGCAAAAAAAGTAAAATACAGAACTTCTATGTCACCCACCAGCAGTGGCAAGTTAGCATAGAGATTGACATGAAATTAATGTTTTGTTCTTCTTCTTATTCGATCTGATGAAACTAAAATCTTTTTAAAATGTCCAATCACTGTTACAGTCCAATCTGGGTTCATCTATCCAAAGTAGGGATGGCAAAATGGGTAATATATATGGTTATCCATCCAACCCAACCCATTTTAAATGGGTTGGATACCTGAAGTTTTTTTTAAAAAAAAGTAAATATGAGTCAACCCATATTATCCACTTAGAAATATGGTAATTTAATGGGCAAAATAGATAAAAACTACAGGCTACAGCATATACTTTTTTTTTTTAACATAGGCTACAGTCATATAGTATTATGTTATTTCCTTAGAATTTAGAAAGAAGGAAAGAAGCAGGTTATAAATATTGTTTAGCATTTATTTGTGAGGAAACACTATGCCTTGCTAAATTCAGTTCTTTTGGAAATTTGTGAATGTGGTTTGACATAATAACTGAACTATAAGCATATTAATATTGTTGGATTGTTCAAAGGGAATAGTTGATATTCTCTTGGTTCCCCCACAAAATAATGCGGTAAAGTAGTACATAAAACTAGTAAAATGAGCTCTCTTGGTTCTATGATATAGTAGGTATTGTCTTGATACTATGATAATGATAATTTTGATCAGCTTTGGTTGGGTAATTTAGACCCACCATATTCCACAATGATAATATGGACAATAAGGATGTCCATATTATCCAATGAGTAAACCTATTTTTTATTCGTGTTAAATATGACTGGTCAGGTATTTTATCCATTTTTGTTTAACTCGTTTTCGACTTATCCATATCCGACTCAATCCGCCCGTTTTCCACTCCTAATCCGAAGATTAGTCACTTACCAGTAATCCCTAGACATTAACAACAACAACATATCCAGTGTAATTCCACAAGTGAGGTTTGGGCAGGTTAGGATGTACGCGGACTTTACCCTTACCTTTGTGGGGTAGAGAGGTTGTTTCCAGTACATCCTACCAAAGAAATTAAAATGACAATCTGAGGAAACCATAGGGAAATTTCCTCTTCACCAAACTGTTGGGCTTCTCCATGGACAACAAGACCCTCTTTCAAAGTTCTTGCTCTGAATTCCGATTTTCCTAATTTCAAATCCACGTAATGGATGAGCAGAGAAATTCTCCGAGAGACCATTTTATGATGGGTCACTATCTTCAGCATTTGGAGAGGCAATGAAAACTTTAATGCTTGGAAAACTAGTCAAGATAAGGGAAAGGCAGAGGAAAAGTACTGATCTTTCCATTTCGTCATTTGGTGTTAGCAGTAGGAAGAAGAGGGAACATGGGGATATAATTTCCTTTTGGGCCTACAAATTTTAATGTCCCTTTTCTCTTCAATTTACCCACTTCTTATACTTCTGCTCTCTTTTGCCTTACCTTCCCCGTTCCCAAAATCAGTGGAAACGAGACCAGAACAGCTCTTTGGATTCATCTCAATCTATTGTCAATTAAATTCATTATCCTCATTTCAGTCTGCAGGACAGGCACATATGTAAGAGAACACACTATCACAATTTTTTTTAAATGATAGTGGTGTTTGGGCCAATTTGCGCAACCCTGAGCTAGTCCACCTACTACAGCACACAAGCACAAATGTTGGTAACCTGCCCACCAAGGCTGGAGCAGCTGGGGATTCCCACTGTCACACACACATATCTCTCTCTTGATAGTCCAATTAGTGGAGTATTTATTTTCTCTAGAACACAGAAACTTCACATTACTTCATCAATGAAAACAGGTGTCCCGTGGATGACACTATGGCATTTTTACAAACCAACTAAGAGAAACACATAAGAGACCTTATGCAGATGTGAATTAGAGAAGCTAGCTAGACTATGAGCAGCTAAATTCCAGGATCTAGTGGTGTATGCACCTTATAGTATTTATTTCAAAAATTGCAGATTTGACCAAAATAACAAGATTCTAGCCTAAAGATATATTTACCAGAGTTCTGGTTTCAGACACAGAAAAAATGAAAAGGAAAAAATAGAGTATATATACCACGATTGTCAAATGTCTCTGGAATAACAAGGATTGCAGAATACATGTTTCTCTCACGATGAGGAATATGCAATTTCTCAACCAAAATCCACTCCCATATAGTATGCAGGTCTTCGAGAACCTAAAATTCCCCAATTATTATATTAAAATAATGGTCACTGGAACTCTAGTTAATCTGAAAGAAGTTACATTTATACACCTTTCGAAAAACCAACAGAAAAGTTTTCAGAAAATCATGCCAATGCTCAATGAAAAAATTGGAAAGGGAAATCCAACATTGATTTCAAAAATAAAGTTACTAATGTGTGAGTCACAACTGGAAGAAGCAGATGCATATCAAATTTTCCATGCATCTAAAGAAATCTTGAAACAAGATGTTACCTGCTGCGTCGGGTAATATTGAGATACATTCAAATGACCTCGGCGTATAGGACGCCGCAAGCAATATGGTTCAGTTGGGGGTATTCTTAAAGCTTCCTCTCCACATATGTACTCTCTATATTTACGTTCACTGGAATTAGGTTCATCCTTAATCTTGCTTTCCTTCAGAGTGGGCGACTCGCTGGTATTGCCCTCGTTGGGTACATCTTCTTCTGCTATCGCAAAACATACTTGCTCATTCTTGAAATAAAGGTGTAAATAACAGAATAAACAAACTAAGCATGTTCTTGTACCAGCTACTATTGAGAATCAAACAAAAGCTAAGCCAATCAGAAAATATCATCTCTCCGACATGGATGTTCTGATCAATTGAGTAGTATTCTCATGGTGTACAAGCATTAAAATCTTTTATATGCACAATAGGTAGAAGCTGAATTTCCAGTAGAGATATAACCAAAGAGTCCTTAATATTCAAAACAAAAATTTTGAGAAAGAAAAATATTTCCAAGTCCAAAATTTAAGATCGGGTCATCAACTATGGAAGAGTTGCCGTATAATATCCTTGTCATATTGCTCATTGATCATCTGAGAAGCTTGACACGGGATATCAGATGATATCTAAACGCATAAAGATCTCCCAGAAAATATGAATTAGACCACCCACAGAAGCACTAGTAGAATTATAGATGGGGAACCATTTGGCTGCTTTAGGCACTAATAGCAGAAAATATTGTCATGCCAGCTGGAACCTAGGGCTACTTGCCAATCAACTAACTGGCTAGGACATCACTTGCGGACAAAGAAGAATGAGTAGTTGACTAAAAGAGTATTCAAACTCCATACAAAATATTGTGTATCTGTACATATAACTGGTTTACAAGAAAACTATACACCACCTATAACTTTCAGCATTGAGAATGCAACAGCCAAACCTGAACGAATAAATGCTTCATTCAAAGAATGAAAAGGTTACAGTTCTTACCTGTTGTTGAAGAATGAGGGACATTTTTCTCGAAAACATCGGTCCAAGTGAACACTGGCTCTTTCATGTTATTTTGCGGAGGATATGCGTCTACACTCCCCATCTGCACAGATAAACACAAAATACACACAAAAGCTTGTCGATAGAGGTATTCCAGGAAGCATGACTATAGATACTTTGTAGTTCAACTAGTTTTGATTCCATTAAAATCTTCCTGATAAAATTGAGCTTCAATAGGCCCAATAACCACTCCTTACCACACATTTACTTGGAAATCTCGCAGAATCCAAGAAAAAAATTCATATTATACTTTAAAGAGCATAGAAAATTCTCCCTAGTACCTTGCGTGGATAAGAACTGTTAGCTACCTCCTCATCCAAAAATGGAATTCTCAATAGCGACGCAACCTGATGAAAAAAAGTGAGACATTGAAAATATATTACAAAATATTCATGTCATCGACCTATAAAGTTTCCTATTTGTGCTTATATGATTAAACATCTTCTTTTTTTTTCAAGCTCAAATATATAATTTAAACATTGTTTACTATATTTCATTGTACTTACAATGTCATACGCTCTTTCCCGTTCCATATGCTGTGCAGTTGTAACCTGAGAATTCAGCATCTAATCCACCAAAAAAAAGGATATCATCAAAACACATAAAAATACACCCTTGCAATATGATCAACAAACTAAAGATGACTTAAAACTTCAAAACTAAATTTTGCGAAAAATCACATAAAACTGCAAACTTAACTACAAAAATTCACAAAATTGGCCTTACTTGATCTTGAGCATTTCGTTTCGGTAACTGACTAGTGCGACGGGAAATGCAATGAGGTATATTGAATGGAGTGTCATGTTGAGCCAATCCTATTCTAATATTTGCGGAACCTAAATTACAGTGAAGTATTTTACTTAATTAGCTAACAGAAAAAGATTTTTAAAAAAAAACCTGGAAATTGAGAGAAGTTAGGGTTTAGTACCTGGATTGATGACGACGATATTGGAGCCGCGTTCAGTGAAGATGTTAGTAGGAACTGCTGTTTTAGGGTAATCCTGTGTATAGAAACAAAAATTGTTAGATTGAGAAGAAGAATATAGAAAAGTGAAGTGTGTATAGCAATGGTGAAGATGAGCACCATGGCTAAAAGCTTGAGGGAACAGAAAACGGTACTGATGAAGAAGGGGCCAGGGGGTTAACTTATATACTGTTTGGAATTGACCCGATAATTGAATTTGCTCAATTTGTGTACAAATTAATTTGACTCAACGTAAAATTAGATTAGATTAGCTTAGTTGAGGTTCCTTTAGTTAGTTAATTCATGATTAATATTTCTTAAGAAAATTATTTAATGGCCTAAATTGAAAACTACTTTTTATTATTACTCTTATTTTTAAAAAGAGTGAAACATAAAAATAAAGTTGACAATTTTCTTGAATTTAAAAGCAACAATAATATATTCAGTGAAATCCCACGTATGAGGTTTAAAGAAGGTGGAATGTATGTAGATTTTACAACTACCTCATTGAGATAGAGAGATTGTTTCAAAAGACCCTTAGCTCAAGTGCAATAAATTTCAATAAAAAGATGAAAGAGATAATAAAGAGAATATAACAAATAACAAGAAAACAATGCAAAGTCTACAAAAGAAGAGCCAAAACAACAATAAAACATGTGACAATCGAAACTCCATAACAGCATACCAGGGTAGATTAGTAAAAAGTTAAAAACAATAATGATAATTTTTTTTTTTACAATAATACAACTAGTACCATCACAAACACCAACCATCCTAAGCAAGACGACACTATACTACCTATTAACCCTTCCACCCTCGTAGCCAAGGTCATATCTTCATTCCCCTCAATTATAGACTCATGATACTTAAATCTATCTCTCTTGGGGATATTTTGTATGTCAAGCCTCACTTCCAAACATACCTCATGCATCGCATTATTAAATTTTTACCCCACATATTTTATCTTGATCCGGCTCAACCTAAACTTTTAGCCTCTAAAGTTTGTCTCTACACCTCCAACTTAGCACTAACTCCATTGCGCGTCTCATCATGCCATCCACAAATAACATACACCACGACATTATCATCTTGAATGTCAAGCGTCAAAACATCCTTCACAAAGGCAAATAGAAACAAATCAAGAGTCGACCCCTGGTGTAATCCCATCTCCACATGAAAGTGCTCTAGAATCTCCTCCCACTGTTCTTACCCACATCTTAGCTTTCTCGTACATGTCCTTTATCGCTCTAACCACCGATACACCTCTTGCCTCCAGACATCACTACTAGATTTCCCTCAAGACTTTACCATAAGTCTTCTAAAGGTCAATGAACACCATATATAAATTCCTCTTCTTTTTTTGGATACTTTTCCATCAATTTCTTCACAAGATGAATAACTTTTGCAGTCGATCGTCTTGACATGAATCAAAATTGATTCTCTCAAATAAACACATTCTTTTTCACTTTTAACTTCACCGCTCTTTTCCAAACTTTTACAATATAACTTAACAATTTAATACCTCTATAGTTATAACAATTGAATCAACAATTAGTGGGAGTAATATTTCAACTGTACTGGGACCAAAATGAAAGAAACAAAAGTTACAAAGGAGTTCAACAAGAAACTCTTCATTAAACCCAATGCTATTGGTTATAAAACGTGTCTCCTTCAATCGACCGTACATTTCAATAGATGGCCAAACCACAAAGCGAGTCTATTTTTATCTTACTCGCGCGCGTTTGCCGTCTGCACAGAGAAATTCATAGCAGGTATGGAGGAAAATTTAATATTTAATAATATAAATAAGCCGTCAACAGAGAAAAAAAGAAAAGGTAAGCGGACATTTTTGAGAAGAGTTGTGATTCAAGGTGTGTTCGATACGGAGAAAAATATTTTTGAGAAATTTAACAAGTAACTGAAGTAATTAGATTGTAAGTTATTTCATGAAAAGCGTTGTAACGAAGCATGCAACTTATAATCAACTTTTGAAAAAGGAGACATTTTTGTTAGGAAACATTTTATTTGTTAATATGAAATTTTTTAACGCGAATTTAAATTTAATTGAGATCTAATATGAATTCGAACATCAAGTGCGAAACTAAAAAAAAGAGTAGCATCTAGAAAAATAAACACATAAAATGGTTAAAAGGAAATTCAAGATCTACTATTTATATATAATTTTTTTCTAAAATCAAATATAAAGATATAATTTTTCATTAAATAAGGTTTGAATGAACCCTTGAATCTCGACCCTTAGCTAACTCCAAAGTGATTGCTAGATTTGCAATTAAATAGACAACTCACAATTTACACAATTTCTTAAAAGCCTCGTAATAACTTCATTTTTTCCTTCTTATAAATATAAAGCTCAATCAATTCATTTGTATATTACCAAGTATAGTAATAATAATATTACTAAGATACTCATAAATCATGAAAAAAAATAGTAAGTGTGAAATTCAAAAATTAAGTAGTTACAAAATCCTCAAAAAATGACGAGAAATTAAAAATTAAATATGTTATGTTGTTATTGATATTCCTACTTTTTATCAACTCTGAAAAAAAATTACCTTTAATAAATATTATTGAAATTAATCGAATTTTAAAATAAATACGAATTAGATAGACATCGGGACAAAAAAAAGTTTTAAAAATGACCTCAATACCAAAGTTGAGTTCCCCAATACTAAGGGGACCAAAGAACAATTTCCCCTATCTCTAATTTTACTACCTATAAATTAAAGGAAAACAAAGACCAACAAGATCCCTGTTTTTTCTCTCTCTGTTTGAACTCGTCTCTGTTTTCTCTTTTCTAGAGAGAGAAAGGCAAAACGATACAGAAATTTGAATCCCCATTTACATTGTAATGGCGACCATATCATTCATTGGAAGAATTCTCTTCGTATCCGTCTTCGTTCTCTCCGCTTATCAAGAGTAAGCTTTTCTTTTTTCATCTTCAGATCTGCTCTGTTTTTAGTTTTTTTTCACTAAGCTTTTCAAAATATGAAAAGCAAACACACGAAGAAGCCTAAGAACCCAAAGGGGTTCAATATGTACTATGTATGTATAAATAATAATTTTAGTTATGTATAAATAGTGTAATTTTTCTTCGGAGTGGTAGGATGTATAGTGAGGAAGCTAGGGTTATGTTATAGATTCAAAATTTATATATATTTCATTAAATATTATGTAATTGACTATACACGTTGACCTTGTGCGTATATATAATTGACTGTACGAGTTGCAATTTGTAATTTTTTTGGTTAGTTTGTACTAGCCAGCATGCAGATCCGCTTATTTATTTTGGTGAGGTGTTGGAATATTATTGTTGTTTCGTCGTAAGTTAGCTTTTGGGGTTGAGCTAATTGTCAAAGTTCAATTTGTTAACATGAGGTGATGGTGTCGTTGTCAGTTTGTGTGCTTATTGCTTACATTGAGTAACTGAGTGTTGTTATTGAGATTCAAATCTGAGATCTTTAGGTTGTTAGTTGTTACTACTATGCCTTGAACACTCCTCCATTGGGGAGTAGATCCTGCTCGTGTTTGTACTTGGTTCGGTTGATTTGTTATCAGAGTTGGATAACTAAGTTGTGGATGAATTAGTGTAATGATTTGGAATTGGGATATGGGATCAGCTCACTTGGACCTTCGTTGTGATTGGAGATATCCCAATGTTTTTAAAGTTGATTTTCTTGACTTCGTTGTTGAAGTTGGAACCTTTTGGTTGGAACTGTGTGTTTTTGCTCTATGTGTTGATTCATTCAAGATGTAGATTTACAACTGTATGACTGGATATATGGTGCAAAGATTACATAGCTTGAGTCAAGGTTTATGTTCTTTGTACCTGTGTTAGAATTGATTGAAGCATGCCTATAAAGCTGGCACTTGACATGTTGTTAACACTACCGGTAAAGTAGATCTGTCATTGGAGTTTTATATTGCTAGAGGAAAATTACATTGCGAAGTTTAAATGTGAGGCCCAATCTAGATTCTTGGATTTGGTATTGGGTTAAGGCTGTCCATGGTACAGTATGTGTGTTTTATGGTGTAAACTGTTACCGCTCTCTCTACTGAATCTGTTATGGAATACTTGTTTAGCTTATATAGACTCTTGCCAATACTCATTTACAAATGGATTGAACATGCACACCCTTTTATGATGCACTTCTTAAGTTTATAGTTGTGTATAATATTTGTTAGTATGGAAGCCAATTCTCAAGGACGTAATGTTGACTTGCATAATGTTTTCTTTGCTCCATTTCATGTGCATATATCTAACCTTCCTCAAGCCTTTAAAAAGTCAATAACTTGCACGTAAACTTTCCTCTTTGGTTTGTGTGGCCGAATATAGAAAATACAGCCTACTTCCTTGACTCTCTTTCTGGAGTCCTGTACTACCAAATAGCTGTAGATGAAGCAAAAAGGAATATGTTAGAGGTCAATAATACAACTGAAATGGTGTCAAACATAAAACATGTACCGGAGTGCCAACTGCGTGGCACTCCTATCTACTGGGCTTCGATGCTTAGTTCATTGATTGATAATACATTGGATGCTTTAGGCTGAAGAACTTATGAAAAGTTGAACTATTCGCTGTCTTGGACTGCAACATTGGGATGTAGTCTACCTACTGATCATATTTAATATGTGTATACTTATCAAGAAAAGGAAGAATTTAGATGTGCCTATTGTTTCTTATTTGTTTTTCCACCTTAATGCTAGGGAGTAGGGAAAATTACAAAATTATGTTATAATTTCTTTGCCCTTTTATTTTATTCGTAAACCGGTCATCATTCATTAACTGTTCTGGTTATAGGTTCAGTGAATTTGGGTCTGATGGCGGGCCAGCAGCAAAGGCATTAGGACCAAAGTTCAATGTTTTGTCAAAGCATGTGGCAACACACATCGGATTTGAATTACCCCATGTAGAGGTATCACTTTGGCTCAACTTATTTGATCTTCTTTCTTAATTCTACCTAACTTAACATGATATGTTATTTACAGATGAAACATCTTATTTTGGGGGCCATAGTTTTGAAGGGTCTTGGAAGCCTTTTATTCATCTTCGGCAGCACTGTTGGAGCTGTTCTTCTGGTTTGTATCTTACTATGCGTCATTTTCTTGTTGGACTTACTTTGAATAATAGCTTTCGTGGGGTTTCTTTTTTTGGGAACCAGTATTGTTTGAACCTTCTTGTTTCATACCTCACTAATCCTCATCTTGT